TGGTGGGGGAAGACCTGAGACATGCATAAACGTGCGTTTCAGGGCTTGAAACGCACGTTTCTGCATGTCTCAGGTCTTCCTCCACCATATTTTTATAATTAAACTAATTTATAAAGTTTTTGGTTTTATTTAGGCCCTGAAAACAGGTTTCAGGCCCTGAAACGCACATTTATGCATGTGCAGGACCTTTTCCAGGTCTTCCACCACCATCTTTAATTAAAAAGTCATTTAGTTTACCAAAATATGGTGGGCAAAGACCTGGGACATGCATAAACGTTTGTTTAAGGGCCTGAAACGCACGTTAATGCATGTCCCATGACTTTCCTAACATTATTTCGAAAAAAAATCAATTTATACACTAAATGATTTTTTAAAATCGAAATATGGTATTAGGATAAGGGCTGGGACCTGTATAAACGTAAGTTTAGGGGCCCCAAGTTTTAGCTAACGTATGTCCCGGTTCCCCCTAACAATATTTCGTTCAAAAAATCAATTTTAAACTAATTGACGGTTTTATCGAAATATGGTAGGGGAGGGCTTGGGAAGGCAAAAAAAATGCTTTTCAGGGCTTCAAACGCACGTTTATGCATATCCCAGTTAGTTTATAAATTGTTTTTTTTTCTCAAATAAAGGTGGGGAAAGATCTGGGACATTCATAAAGATTGCGCTTCAGGCCCTTATGCGTGTCCCTGACTTTTCAAGCTCTTTCCCACCATATTAAAACTTTAAAATCATTTAATTTAAAAATTGATTTTGTTATAGAAATATGGTGGGGAAGGCCTAAGAAATACCTTTTCAAGACATTCAGGCCCTGAAAATGCATTTCAGGCCACGAAACGCATATTTATGCATGTGCCAGAACTTTTCCAGGTCTTCCTCCAGCGTGTTTTAACTAAAAAAATATTTAGTTCATCGGAATATGGTCGGCGAAGATCTGGAACATGCATAAACGTGCGTTTAAGGGCATGAAACGCACGTTTATGCATGTCTCAGGTCTTCCCCCACCATATTTCGAAAAATCATTTCAAATGCGAATTGATTATTTCAAATCGAAATATGGTAAGGTAAGAGCTGGGTTCTTTCCCACCATTTCGTTTAAAAATTCAATTTGTAAACTAATTGACGGTTTTCTCGAAACATGGTCGACGACCAGGGTCTTGCAAAAAACAGCGTTTCAGGGCTTGGAACGTACCTTTATGCATACCCAGGTCTTCCCCCACCATTATTTGTTGAGCGAAATAGTAATAAATTAAATTATATCAAAATTTTAACCAGAATATGGTGGTGAAAGACCTAGCAATCTTTTAAAAGCGCGTTTGAGGCCTGAAATTCACGTTCATGTCGTCCTCTGACATATTTTGAGAAAAAAGTCCAAGTAGTCTATGAATAGAATTTTTTTTTCAAAACATCTTGGGGGAAGACCTGGAAGATGCGCATAAAGATTGCGCTTCAGGCCCTGAAAGGCATGTTTATGCGTGTCCCAAGATTTTAAATTCTTCCGCACCATATCAAGATTTTAAAATCATTTAATTTATAAATTGATTTTTTTATCGAAATATGTGGAGAAGACCTAGGAAAAACATTATCGCGCCTTTTAGGCCCTGAAACGCAAATTATGCATGTGCCGGAACTTTTACAGGTCTTGTTCCAGAGTGTTTTATAAAAAAAATCATTTAATTTATCGAATTATGGTGGGCGAAGACCTGGCAATGCATAAACGTGCGTTTAGGGGCCTGAAACGCATGTTAATGCATGTCCTATGTTTTTCCCCGCCTTATTTCGGAAAAAAACTAATTTATACACTAACTGATTGTTTTAATTGAAATATGGCAGGATAAGAGCAGGCATATGCATAAACGTGCAATTAAGGGTCTCAAGTTTAAGTTAAAACATAACCCGGTTCTCACCCTACAATGTTTTGTTTGGAAAATCGAATTGTAAACTAATTGACGGTTCTCTCGAAATATTGTCGGTGAAGACCTAAAACATGCAAAAAAACTGCCTATCAGGGCTTGAAACGCATTTTTATGCATATCACAGGTCTTCCCCCACCATGATTTGTTGAGCGAAATGAAAAATCAATTAACTTATGGTGGTGAAAGACCTGGGAATTGCGTAAATGTGCATTTCAACCCTGAAATTCACGTTTATGCATGTCTCAGGTCTTCCCCCAGCCATATTTTGATTAAAAAACCAAATACTTTATAAATTGTTTTTTTTCTTCTCAAAAGTTGGAGGGGAGGACCTGTTACATGCATAAAGATTGCGTTTCAGGCCCTGAAATGCAATCTTATGCGTCTTAAGGGCCTCAATTTCAGGTTAATGCATGTCCCAGTTCTTCCTCCAGCATAATTCGATTAAAACACCAATTTATAAACTGATTGACATATCTCAAAAAAATGGTGGTCGAAGACGTTGGAGAACCATGAACGTGCGTTTCAGAGCCTGAAACGCACATTCTTGCTTATCCCCAGGTATTCCCCAACATGATTTGTTGAGAAAAAACTCAATTAATTTATCTCAATTTTGAAACAAAACAGGGTGGGGTAAGACCTAGGATATGCGTTAACATGAGTTTCAGGCCTGAAACGCACGTTTATGAATGTCCCAGGTCTTTCTCTGCCATATTTCGTAAAAATTCAAGTCAAATATAAACTGTTTTTATTTCCTCAAAAATGGTGGTGGAAGACCTGTGACATGCATAAAGATTGCGTTTAGAGGCCTAAAGCGCACTTTAATGCAAGTCTCAAGTTTTTCCCCAACTTATTTCGAAAATAATCAATTGAATACTTATTGAGTTCTTCATCGAAAAATGGTGGGGAAAGAGTTGGGACATGCATCAAAGAGCGTTTGAGAGCCTGAAACGCACGTTTATGCATGTCCCAAGTCTTCGTCCACCTTTTTTCGAGATAACCGTCGTTTCAGGGACTGAAACGCACGTTTATGCATTTCCCGGCCTTCTTATTTCGATTTAAAAATCATTTTATAAAATAATTGACGGTTTTCTCAAAATATGGTGGGCGAAGACCTGGTTTATGCATAAATGTGCGTTTCAGGCCCTGAAACACACGTTTATGCATGTACCAAGTCTTCTCCCACCTTATTTTGACAAAAAAGTCAATTAATAAGTGTTAAATAATAAAACAAAATTCATTAGGCGGATATTGAGCAGACAACACTTGGGTAGACGACGGTCTTGATCCAAAAAACAAATCAAGATTGAGCTATCAAACATTCTGAGCTAAAAAGTCCTAAATTTTACAACCCCCCCCTGCCACCTACCCTTCTGTAAGCTGAAAAACCAAATTAAAATTTCGGTGCTCCAAACGACAAACTATCAAGCAACTAAACAGATAGGCATCAGCCAAAAACCATTTAAGCCGAATAAAATCAACAAACAAAGAACAAAAAAAATCGAGTGGAACAGCCATTTAAAAGGCAGGCATGCTAAAAAAAAGATCTGATGACATGCATTATGTTCTGTTGCTATCATAAGAGCCGAGCTAACTGGTTCAGTTGATTTTGTTAAACTAGTTGTTAACCCAAAAAAAGTCTATAATCCAGTTTGATAACGCTTGCTAATTACAAGCGTAAAGATCAAAAACTCTAATTAAACAATTAGCTAATAATCTGAATACTCAGCAAAATGAATATCAAAAACGGAGCAGGTAAACATGTGCAAGTCATTAATTATCACTGTTTCAATTGGAGTTGATTATTCCCCTTGTTCAGACTTCGTCCTCTCTGAAAGTTTGAAAGAAGTCGTCATTCGTCGAAAGTAGACAAAACCATACTTTTTGAAAAGGAAACGATCACTCCTTTAGTTACTATAAGTCATGCCGAACCAATCGACGTCATAGTTATAACTCAGTTATGACTCATGACCTTCAAATTGGTTCTAAACTATCCTCAGGTGCCTCCCCCGCATCCTGAGGCTACCAGCTCTTTGCCAGAGCTCTTGGTTATGTCCAGAACCGTAAACACTTCCGCATTGGTTGGATGGATTCCAACTAACGAGTCGAAGTCTTCTTTCTTGGCACCAATTCTCAGCGCCAGCGCAAAACCCTGCGTCATTTCGCCCGCATTTGGGGCAATGATATGGAATCCTATTACTCTATTGTCATCATTTTTGCACACCAACTTGGCATAGCAGACTCCAGCCTTCTGGCCAATAACCCATTCTAGAGGTTGGAATAAATTATGGTGCACTTCGATATTATCTTTGCCAAACTTTTCATGAGCATCTTCTTCAGAGTATCCGCAACAACCGTACTCTAGAGGAGTGAAAACTGTCGTCGGAACGTTTACATAGTCCATCAAGACTTTTCCTTTTCCGAAAAGCCTCTGAGACAAAAGTTGACCAGCCTGTACTGCTACCGGAGTCAGCTCCAGCTTGCCTTCTATTACGTCACCGATTGCGTAGATATTGTTCACTGAAGACTGTTCAGCTTCGTTCACGATCACTTTAGAAGTCTTCGAGTTGACCTTCACACCTATGGACTCAAGATTAAGTGATTCAGTACATGCTGTGCGTCCAATAGCAAAGAGAACTGTGTTGCATTCAATTTCAGCAATTTCGCCCGTTGAGTTGTTTTTGGCTTCGATTTTCAGCTTCGCAGGTGTCCCTGGTTCGATCTGTGTGATTTTTCTTGGGACGAATCCCCGCATAAATTCGACCCCCTCTGCCTTCATGTATTCTCCTACACGTTCTGCACACTCTTGGTCGAATCCTCTCAGAAGTATAGATCGCACAAGTACTGTGACCTAAAAAAGTAACCGAATTTTACAAAAAGTGATAAAACTTGCTAAACAAGTGTGGTCAACATAACATAGACATAATAAAAACTTCCACTTGAACTTGTTTTCCATAGTAAACCAGATAAATACTGGAACCTGATCTAAACCACCGAAATTACTTACACGTAAAACCACAGTTGAAATACCCAAAAATATAAAATTCTACCTTGCAAAAAAACGAAACATCACCCCGACTAGAATGCAAATATGCAGTAAAAACTGACGTTGAACAATCACAGATAAACAATCTACAACACTTCCCACTTTATTTAGATTGTCAAAATAATCACTATGAAGTTGACCTACTTGGAACATCAACTTTTAAACCAATCCCATATTCACAATGGATAAAAAATAACACCCAACAAAAAAGAGTAAAACAACACTCGCATAAAAAAGATCTTTTTCCACTAATTGAAAAAGAAAACCTAACTGATAAAATAAATTTATCAGGACCACAAACAAACGATTCAAAATACACAATAAATCAAATATTTGACCTTCATGACCCACTTGATACAATTCCTTTATCTAAATTAGAAATAGAAAACATTTTTCTCCCCCCAACAAAAACAATTACAATTTCAACCTTGAAACAATACCAAAATCTTGACCCAGTAATTAGACAACTAAAATCATGGCACAAATATAAAACTAAACCCGTCAAGGCAGATACAACTATTTTAGGAAATAAAACACTCCTCCGATATTTTCGAAAATTCAATAATACAACAATTAACGAAAACACAGACCTTCTAGAATACAAATTAAATGAATCTACAGTTCCCTGTCTCCCTCTAAGTATGATTCTCATAGCTTTTAATTTTTCACATACACAAAATATTAAAGGACACTCTGGATCAGAGAAAACATATTCAAATTTCATACAAAACTTTTATTTCCCAAATGCACCAATTTGGATAAAAGTACTATGCAATGATTGTATAGTATTTCAACTAAATAAACCTTATCCAAATCAAAAACAAATAGCACAAAAACAAGACTTTAAAGGACAAATTTTGTACTTTAACCACCGTATCTCCTTTGATACAAAAGGACCAATTTCACCCTCATCCGAAGGAAACTCCTACATTATGGTAATTGTTGACGCGTTTACACATTATGTAGCACTTAACCCAGTACCACATTGTAACGCTTATTACGCTTACACAACACTCTATGAACACTGGATAGCCAAATTCGGACTACCAGAAATTTTAGTTACAGACAACGGTACAGAATTCATAAATAATGAAATCATCACACTATGTCATCTATATAACATCAAACACAAACCACGTACATCTCACTCACCTTGGACAAACGGCTTAGTCGAAGGTATGAACCGTTCATTACAAGAATATCTCAGATGTATCATCAATGGAAATGATACAAGATACACCGAATGGTCAGCAGATGTAAAATTATTTCCCTTAGCATATAATTCACAAATTACGACAACTCTAGGAATGTCACCATATGAAATGGTTTTTAACCAAAAGCCACGCAAACCAATAATGTTTACAGCAAACTCTCATAAAAACGCACAAGGTTATTGTCAACCAAATAAAGACTCAATCTGTTATAACCTACCTTTACATACACACGATGAAGATCATTTTCATCACCCACAAATTCTTAAATTAGCCTCCGGTACACACACCGAATGGATTTTAAACAGAGATAAAAAACACAATGAAATTTACCAAAAAGTAACAAAAAAGTTGTTACAAAGGCAAAACATTAATGAACAAATAAATTCACGCTTTACACCAGCCTCCGATTTAAAAATTGGAACATTTGTTTTAATACCCAATTTTAATACTCAAAGAGGAATTTCAAAAAAATTACAACCCCTTCGTAAAGGAACATACCAAATAATTGCAAAACCCACTGATGTCACATATAAAATCACCGACTCAGACAAAAAAGAAATCGTTCAACACCGAAATAACCTATTACCTTATTATCCAAAAGAATACGCACTCCGCGAGCTAACTCAATTATATTCTTTTACAGGTTTACAAGTTATTCAAAATGACCCACATACGGAAAATACAACAAAGGAACAAAAAGATTTTCACCTCAAAAACCAAATAACAAAATCAACCACCACAAAAAACAATACAAAAAACCTAGATCAAAATACATCTCAAAAAGAAAGAAAAAATAGAAAAATGACAGAACAAATAATACCCCAAGAACAAATCGACAAATCAGGACATAGAGAGTCTTCACGACTTAGAAATCAACCACGTAAAAATTATAAATTATTCATCCCACAATCTAAAATATTAAAGAAAGTTGAATTTCAAAAACAACTTTAATTCTACATTTAATAATCTTTGCACCTCTGAAACATTTTACACTTTCATTTCTCAAAATAACATGCTGACAAACACGCAGCGATTCTAGTTCAAAATTAGCCAATAGGATTCATCCAATCCGTCACCTTCTATAACTCTAACACAAACCAACTAAACGAAAAATATTAAACTCCAGGCATATCTATAACTATAACTTTACGACCTCCAGGTCAAAAATAAGCAAACCACTCCAACTTGACAACTAAAATAAATATCACCATAATATCATAACCCTCCCTTATCTAATAAACCAAAGATCAACAATATTTCCCCAACTCAGACCTCAAATATCCCCCAAACAAATATGTTAAATTAGCCTAAAGTAAAAGAACGACCATTTTAATTAGCCTAAAGTATAAAAATCTCAAAAATACCCCAGATCATTTGACAAATGAAAATAAAGACAAAGAAGACCTCCCGATCACCATAAAAATTGCCCCCAACAATTTTTCACAAAACTCAACCCACTTGTCAAAAAACCAATAAATAATCCGACCACACTTGAAAATTGCCCCAAACAACAAAAAATATTCGATCAAGAAGTCATTTCGTAAATGCTCTTCTCTCAATCAGTCACTATAATTATCACAAACCTCAAACAATTTTTTACGATACTTAAGACTTTTATAATATTTCTTTTTGATATCTTTGAATCTTTTGTAATAATCTTAATCATTTTTTGCATTATTTTTTAAATTTTCTATACCCTATTTGAACTATACCTCCTACTTTCAAAAGCTATTGACTATATCCACAGGTACGATTCACAAAAACTTATCTAAATGATACGAACCATTTTTAGTAGAACCGATATTTTTTTACTATTTGTAATTTTTATAACATTTCTCTCATCCCTCATCTTGACAATATGCAAATGTATAAAAAAAGCAATCATCACATTCGCCCTAGCAACAATTCTCCTAATTCTTTTTTTAGAAGAATACTATAATAAACATAAACTTTTTCACTAAAAGAATAGACCAAAAAAGCTATCAAAAATTGCTACCCAACAGTCACATAGTCAGTCTTCACCGACATCATCCCAAGATAACCCAACAACACCTTTAACTACCAAAATCCTCAAACATCTACACGGATTTCCTCTCAAGATAACCCATATACCTTTGAAGAACGACACGCTCGCTTATCAGAACCACTAGAACCAGTTCAACGAGAAGCACCTCTAAGCGAACCAACATATAACTTATACCCAACACTACCACAAGAATTAAGTAGAATAAGAAATCCTAGTCAAAACCAAAATACAGTCGAAATAAATAGACAAATTATACATCCTCGACGAAACAGAAATTTTCAAACTCCCCGAGTTCATTTTGATATACCTCAATCACCATCACAAAACACTCCAGAAAACCCCATTGGTATATTACCAGAAACCCCTACGCTTCTTTCACAACGTAGCACCTCAAGCCTACCATCAGATTACTTAGGTTCAACACCAACATCTGAACAAATACGTGAAAATCCCTTTAACCCCCCAAACCAGGCATCACGACTACCATATTGGACAACACATTCATTTACACAAGGTGAACTAAATTTAGTCAATGATCCAATAGATATTTCTACGGATACAACAACATCCTCATCACTACCAGAAACATTATCACTACCATCAACACCATCAATAAGCCAGATTTCACCACCACCTTTTAACTTAAATTTCCCAAATAACCTCGACGCTAGATATCGAGAACAATCATCAACAAATATTCCTTTAAGACTAGACTGGAATACATTCAAGGCACCTCCACCATTATTTGGACAACACCTAGAAAGTAACCGACTCCACAATTGGGCACTAAATAGACTACAATATAGACAAGACATTCACGAAGACATTCGTGCTCATAACATCCAAATACTCCAACAGAATAGTCTACAATTAAAATTTGAAATCACGGTTAAATTAAACAACATTACTCAACATCCCTATCCATTAAATCCACCAAATATAACAGCTCAATCCCTACCACCACCATTTATAACAACTGAAGTAATATACAAATACGACAGATATACTAAAAAGACAATTGGTTACATCACATTTTATAACCCATACTCAGGATTGTCATACACATGTATATTCTATAAATTTTAATTTTTCTCCAACTCCTTTTTCTAATAACCTCAAATCAAAACATAAACCCTTCCCCCCGCACAGGACCACAAGATTTATTAGTAACACATTACGATTGTGAAGAAAACGAACAAAAAACACTACACAAATATGCAATAAATCAAGTATCACAATGCGAAACAGAACCACAAGCCATAGAAACAACAAATGTAATAGCGACACTCTATTCAAAAGCCCGAGCAACTACAGTTATAGTATATAAATTCACAGCAACATTTTCTGAAAAGAAAGTACATTGTTCACAAGTCTCAAACGGAAATAAAAACCGACTTGACCATGAATCATTCTACCAGAGTAATATAGAACGACTTTTACATCTCAATCCCGAAGATTGTAAAAACGAGTTACTCCGACTAAACATCACAAAAAATAAAAACACAGATAGAAAGTTAGTATATTTCCAAGTTTTTTCAGATTCTGTACATCAAGCAGAACTTGAA